ATCTTGACTTGACTCAATGCATTTTGTTTTTGAAGACATTTTACTATTTTTACTTTTGTTTTCCACTTTACTAATCTTGACTGCTGACTTTTTTAAGTTTGTTGTTCAGTGGTTTTGACTTAATGTGCTAGCTTCTATAACTGTAATAAGATCTTTCATATTATTGCTATTGTTCTGACTGTTTTTTTCTGTTGTTTCAACTGTTAGTTCTTCTTGTTTTCACTTTTTTGGACCAATTGGTTGAAAGCTAATATTTACATCTTCTTTTTCTACTTCTATTCTGTTTTTTTCCTTTAATATTATTGAACTACTTATATTAGCTATATAGTTAATTGCTTCTAAATTGTATTACATCATTCTTGCTTTCATTGCTCATTTCTCAATTAATGTTTTTTCAAGGCTTCTGGTTTCGATTTGTCTTAATACTTCAAGAACTTAATCATAAATCAACAAATTCTGCTTTGTAATGTTATTTGGATTACTAATTGCTATACTGTATGCTATTTGTTCTATATTGTTTGGACTATGTGGTGTTGTGTCTTTTAGTACTTTAGTTAATATATTGCTATCTAAGTAACTAAAATTTTTTTTATCTGCTTCTCAAATAAACTTAAGTAGCTCCTGCTTGTATAACTCACTTATCTTCTAATCTGCACTTAAATAATAATCAACTAATATCTACTAGTAGTATTGTTCTAGATTTACTAAAAGGGACTATATGCTTTTCTGTTGTTGTTTAATTGTGTAATTGTTGTTTTCTTGTAATTTATTTACTTAATCAAAAAGGAAACGTGATCTAGTATTTGTTTACTTTGTTGTTTACATGTTTTTGTACAACCTAATTCGATCTGCCGAACTGAGACTTTGCCAATTCACCAAATTTCTAGAAAAGTTTTGAAGAAAAAAGTCAAACTGTTTTTTTGTACTTTGTATTTGACTTAAAGAAAAAAGAGTTTCTATCAAACTTAATGTTGTTTTTGGTCTACTTTCTTTTTCTTTAAGTTATTAGAATAGGTTTCCTAAGTTAGTTCTTGCTTGTTGCTACTATTTTTGTCTTGTTTGTTTTTGAAACAAAAGATCAGTAGTAAGAGTTTTTTTTTGAAACTAAAACTTCTATTTTATACTTAATTTAATTAATAAATATTAGTTAATTGGTTTAATATTTTATATGATACTTAATTTAGCTAATTAAAATTTAGAATTATTAATATATAACTATTAGGTGTACTATTGTTTTACTTATAATATTTTTCAAACAATTAATTTTAATTGTTATAACAAAATAATTCTAATAAATTCTTAATTTTAATTAATTAATAATTTTAATTTACAAATTTTAATCTGTATTATAAGAGTATAGCAACTTAGTGAAGTAAATAAATTGTTATACCTTCAAGTAGTAGATTGTGAGTTCAAAATCTACTAATAATAAAATTTAGATAATTACCTATATAATATATAGACAATATTATAGTAATAGCATTTTGTTAATAAGTTAAAATAGGATACCTGTAACTATAATCACATCAGCATAACTAGCAGGTCTGAGGCATTTGTGTAATCTTGATTATACAAAGGAATGCAAACTAATACTAGGTGATGCAAACCTAAAATAAGTTCTTGTGCTATGTAAATCTGTAGAACTAAAAAGCCAGAGCTCACTTAAAAATTCTGAGCAAAAAGGTAATACAAATCTTTGACAATACTACTGTATAGAAATTGTACCCATATAAGATTATCTGGATAACCTGCATAACATCCATTAACTGGGTCATGACCTTTGCTACCTAGGTAATCTGTATTATTTGTCTATAAACTCATGACACAGCTTAAGTTATTACATTAACCATAGTGATAGCTGTCACAACAAAATTGTAACAGCAAATCCTCAATTTTAATTGGCTAATGGCCAAGGATCTTCAAAATTTTGTCTTGTATTACATATTTGCTTACTAATTTCTGGCTGGAATTAACTTTTTTTTTTTACAAAAAATTTTTAAATTAGTCCAGAAATAAGGTTGTTGATTTACATATAAATTTACCTATTTAACAATAGTAAGTTTACTGTAACTGACGTAAACAATTTGTAAGTTATGTGAGTTGATTGACATATATGGTACATCATATTATAAATTAACTTAAACCTATTAAACCTTATTCTCTGATACAAGTTGATATTAATGCTGATAAAAATTGTTACATGATTTGGCTAGCTTTAAATCTATATTGTTACTTACAAGTAGGCCAGGTAAATTACAATAAATTACAATATAAAGTAAGTTGTCAGATATGCTTTAACAACTATACTTAGAAACAATTTTTACCTAACAGCTACAATTTTATTAGTAAATTATGAGTAATTCCAGTCTAATTTTTTTTTTGTTGCTCTTATAAATTTTTGAACTTTTGGTAAAAAATTGACTGAATAATTGGATGATTTGATAAATTTGTGATTCAGCAATGATAAATTCTTAATATAAGTAATTAGTATATAAAACAACAATATCAATATATATTTTTGCTTAAATGCATATCCAATGTATTTAGTATATTTAGTCTGTATAAGAATTTATAATAAGGATTGTTTATGCCAACAAATAGATCTTAATAAAAAACAAAAAGATCTAAATATAAGATTAGCTTTCATAATAAATATATTATATGAGTAGATGCTAATAAAAAAAAAGTTTATTGCCAATAGAATATGTTTTTAAAAAAATACATGAACTGAAGATGCAATTTTATGCTGCAAGATAGAACTTCCAAATTAAATTTATTCAGATATTGAGAATCTTATCAAATAAAATTCACTTCACAGTTTTGGATATTGCAATCTTCATACTACAAGTAAATAGTTCTTTCAAATTGGATTCATTTTACAGTTTTGGATATTGTAAATCTGGCAGTAGGTGATTAGTTAAAATAAAATTCAAAAAACATGTAGGTTAATCCTTATAAGATTATTCTTACATATTTATATGTACAAATTCTCTTATTGCATTTGCAGTTCTTATTAACAAATACAATCAACTATTTTTCTATCAGTTTATATCCAGTTACTTGATCAAAATGAATTGCTAAAAGAATTGAATAGTATAATTATTTCTAAGCTTTGCAAAGAATCAAATGGTATAATTATTTTTAAGCCTTGCTCAAAGAATTGAATAGCATAATTTGCCAAGCCTTGTCTAAAGAATTGAATAGCATGATTATTTTCAAACTTACCTAAAGAATCAAATGCCATTATTTCTAAACTTTGCTTAAATATATCAATTATGCAACTAGTTCATATAATTATGCAGGATCAAATCGCATAGTAATTAAATTAATTATTCCATAAACTAAATAGGTGAACATGCATTTAAAGCTAACTAATTTGATGCAAGAAGCATAATTCTGCAGGATAAATGGCATCTAAATAAATAGAATATGTATTCAAAGCCAAATAGTTTACATAATTATACAGATTAAATAGCATAATAATTAAATAATTCTCTTACTAATAAATAAGTTGAATATTTATTTAAAACTAACTGATTCGATGCAATAAAAATAAATTTACAGATCAAATAGTATAAGTCTGCTCAAATAAGTTTAATATATGCTCAAAGCCAACCAAATTGATACAAGAAGCATTATTGTATAATTAAACTATATTGTTATTGAGTAAGCATACTTGTACAATAATAAGAATTAGAATGTAAAAAAAAATAAAATTTAGATATTTTAAAAAATGAATTTAAACTATGCTTTTTGATTTGAATAAAGCTTCAGAATTCGATTTTGAAATCTAAATAATTATTTAAATAATATTTTACTTTTATGTATTTGACTTTAAATCTTACTGCTATTGCATATTTATTAATTAAATCATCCTTACTCTCAATCATATATTATCATTACATAATAATTAACAAACTCAACTTATAATCTTTATATTACTTTGCACATTTAAATCATCTCTTATTAGTACTATAACTTTTAAATAAAAATGGAATCTCAGTCTAGTTTAAGTTTTCACAAAACTATATATTTTAATAAAAGCAATAGTAATAATAATAATAATATAACACCCTCTACAACTGCATTAGCTAGTAATAAAAAAAAAAAAATAAAAAAAATAAATCAAGTTTTGTGTAAAAGTATTTTAAAAAAATCAGAACAGAAGATGTGTGCCAAGTTATAATTAAAAAAAATAGTATAAACAAAAAGTGTGAAACTAAATATATTTACAATAATTCAATATTGAATATGATCACTTATCTATGATCTCATAATATTATGGATAGCAAAAAGTTAAAACCTAAAGAACTACAAAAATGACAAGCTACATTATTAGTAATAATTAAATCTAATACCAATACTCTATATAAAGGTAAAAGACAAAAAGAAATAGTCAAAAAAGTTATTAAATAGATTTTTCTGGATAATGAACTTTTATTAGTACCAAAAAAAAAGAAATTTTGTCATATAATTACAATAATTGATCTGAAGTTTCATCTGCCTTCTAATAAAATAAACTATTATTAAATTACCTAAAAAATATAGATGCTCTTAAACAGAAAATTACATCATCTTGTAAAACTGCTACATTAATAGCAGATTCATAGATCTCACATAATAACCAAGGCTATATTGGGGTCACTTGTCACTAGATAACTTCTAATTGGTCTCTTCAGAGCATATTATTATGTTGTGAAAAAATATAATATCCACATATCACTGATTTCATTTATCAATTTCTTAATAATAAATGCACAAAATTTAATTTTAAAAATAAGATAATGTATGCTGTTACTGATAATGGCTCCAATATGATAAAAGCCATTAGATTGTGAAATACTATTGTTTGACTTCTATGTGCTGTGCATACTTTACAATTAACAGTTAATTTTGTTTTGCAAAAAATTTGCTCACAAACAAAAAAAATAAAAAATTTAGTTCATTTTTTTGATTCATCAAAGCAACAAGAAAGATTAGAAAAAGCCTAAATAAAGATAATGAAAAGAGATATATTAACATTTTCTAGCTTAGTTCATGCGGAATCTTATGCTAAAGTTTATCTTAATAATAAAGAGGTTGGTGAAATTAATGATGAAAGTAATACAGAGTCAGAAAAACAATTAAATGTAAATACTACTCCTAAGTCCCTTCATTCAATTAAAGACTGTTCTATATAGTGAAATTCTAAATATCAGTCTTGGGAAAGATTATTGAAATTAAAAGATGCAATTATATAGCTAGAAGTAAATTTAAACATTTTACAGAATTCAGATGACAGAAAAGATGAGAAAAAACTTAAACTATACTTGCCTGATAAAAATAAATAGAAATTAATTGAAGAATTAGTTAAAACTTTTAAAAAATTTGATCATGCAACAGAAGCATTTAGTGCTAAAAAGTACTCTACAATATTAATTATATATCCTATTATTAAACTCCTAAAATTTGAATTTGCAATAAATTTAAATCCTCCTTTGGTTGATAATGATTATGATCTAAATGATGAATATGGTATATGCTTTGTTATTTTTTTTTGTAAAAATAATAAAAAGTAAATAAAATAATAAAATCAATAAAAAAAAAAAGAAAATTGTATAATTTTTCATATTAGTTCATAAATATTAATATTAGCTCTTATCTTCAGAATCAAATATAGACAGTGATAGTGAAGATGAAGAGGATTATACTCAAGATATCTTTAATATTCAATTAACAATTGCTCAAGTTAAGTGGGCAATTTACAATTCACTTTGAAAATATTAGAAAACTTCAATTTCTACTAGCCTTATAGCAACTTTACTAGATCCAAGGCTCAAGAAAATGCACCTTTGGTCTGAAGAACTATAGAAAGAAACAATTAGAATATGCCATAAAGAATATAACAATATTATTAACAAAACATCTACACAATCAACACATTCCAATGTTACTTCAACTAATCATTACTTTACTTCAATATTTGATGATGAAGATAATAATGATGATAATTCATCTGCTGATAAATTAGATAAATATTTAGACATGCATATTGCCTCAAAAACCAAGTCACCCTTAGACTGATGGAAAGAATAAGAAAAAGAGTTTCTAAATTTGAGCAAATTGGCAAAAAAATATTTATTTATACCAGCTACTTCAGTACCAAGTGAATGACTATTTTCTGATGCAGAGAACCAAGTAACTTCTAAATGAACTTGTTTTAATCTAGAAACTGTTTCACAAATACTGCTTTTAAAAAGAAATAATAATATAATTAGTATTGCATAACTTTTTTATTTGTATTTCATATAACTACAATAAAAAATTTTTTATAACTTACAAAGACTGCTATTATGAATTATAAAATAGATTATGAAAGAACCAGATAACTTATTCATAGTTGTAATATTTAAGATCATAATGCTTCACTAAAAAAAAAATACATATTAATTAGTAAAAGTTTGAAATAGTATAAAAACATTAAACTTCACAATGCAAAAGATTTTTAAAAGCCAATATGTATATTTCATTATTCTTGTACTGTACATAAATTTTAAATACTAAAATCAAATGATCAAAATCTGAGAAAGCTTGAAGATCTTGTTTAGCACATCTTAAAATCATAATCTTAATACCTATAAACTAAAAAAATAAAATCTTTGAGTAAATGGGTATATGTACAAACATGATCTAAAGGCTGCAATACTGTAATAAGCAAAAAAAAAGAGAGTAATTTATCTGTTTAATTTAGTATGTTGACCAAACACCCTAATGTATATGATATATGCTCGATTTATATTCAGGTTACCTGGGTTATCCAGCTTATCTGGTTTATCTAGGTGACCTTGTTTGTAACCCAGTAATAATTTTTTGTTTGGCAGATAACCTAGAGTTAAAATTTTTGATGAATACAATCTCTACTACTATAAAGGCTAGATTTAGAAAATGGATACCAATGTAGAAGAATTAGGTGAACAAGAATCTCAGATAAGAAGTATTACCAATCAGGTCATCAGATTTCAGACTAAAGGAAAAGAATATTGTGCTGGCCTTAATATACCTAAAACAGGTCACAGTTCTTTTAGGCTATCTGAATTAGAAGTCTGAAGTCAAAATAAAGATATACTAAAATTACTAGAGATATGCTATAAAGTCAGTGCCAGAGTTTGGATACACTCTGTAAGGGTAGCCCTTGTTAGTGTTCTAAAAATGGGTAGATAGTTAAAAATGAAGGGCCTTCTGCATCTTACTAGCAGGTAACATACTCTAAAATATATAACAGCCTGAGAACTAGTACAAAAGGGTAGGTACTATACTGCTTAGACAGTATACTGATTAGGTATATACAGAGGGTTAGTTGGAATTATATCATGACAGAGCAGATTATTAGAAGGTTTAAATAAATAATCTCCTAGTAGATTATAAGTACAATATCTAGTGTAGAACCTTAAGACAAACTATTTAAATAAATAACCAAAAGTTGCATGTATAACTAGTTGTACTCTTATCTTTGTAAAAATAGTTGTAATAGATAATCTAATAAAAAGTCAATAAAGTATTATCACAAAGTATAGCCTTTAACAAAAAAAAAAATTTGTATTATATATTATAAAACAATATTGTATATTTCTTAGATTGTAACACAAACAAATTTGTCTATATTAATTTTTTTAAAATTAATTTTTATAATAAAATTTTAACAATTAATTTTAGCAATATAC